TTTTATTAATTATTTCCCGAAAAGCATATTTTGTCCGTAATGCTCCCACCATTCAAAGTTCAAACAACTCACGAACGGTAGCTGCAGCCTGCAAGCCTATATCTAAACTTCAAACTCCAACACGATAACTCTTAATTTATTAAGTAACAATAAAAGAACAAGCCAATGTTAGTTCACGACGTTGCTCCACACTCATTCTTTTTGTTCTCTTTGACAAAAAGAAAAGAAAGAAAAAGCTTGAAGCTTTTCAACAATGGATTGGTCTGCCATAATAAGTCGCTGGAGAAGCCATGCAACTTTAAGAGTCCTTGGCCTAATCTTGCTGGGTCAACTAGTTTCTTTCTCCATTGCCCTCATGAGCCTCAGTTCCTCTCTCATAGCCCAACTTGGTATTCTTAATTTGGTTTCTGATTTTTTTTGGGGGGGTTTTATCAGCTATTTTTTTTAAAAATTTGACATGAAGATTACATGTTTGACTGAATAATGCTATATTCAGGTGTTGATGCACCTCTAACTCAGAGCCTGTCTACTTATGCATCTTTAGCTTTGGTTTATGGAAGTATATTGCTTTATAGGCATCACAAACCTCTGGTATCTACTATATATACAGATCTTTATTGCATTGCTTTGTCCATTAATAAAAAAAAAAAAATTTCCTTTCAAACTTCTGAAAGTGAATTTAAATTTGGGATATTTGAGATCGTGCACGTATATTTATGTGCTGCGCAGGTTTCTTGGTATTGGTATTTACTATTAGGTTTTGTTGATGTTCAAGGGAATTATTTGGGTAAGTAATGCTGATCCATCTCTCAAGTCTCAATCATTCACATATATTTTTCCGTGGTCATGAAATTATGAGAGCTAAAGTCATATATATATATATATATATATATATATATATATATATATAGAGGTAGGATCCTTTGACACCAGTGTTAAATTTGAAGTGTGACACTTTATCTGAAAGTCGTTAGATCAAAAAAGATCAATGGTGTCACAGGCTTACAAATGAGAGTCGTTGATCTTTTTTGATCTAACGGCTCTCAGATGAGGTGTCAAACTTCAAATTTGACACCGGTGTCAAAGGATCCTACCTGATTTGTAAGCACGTGACACCATTGATTTTCTTTAATTTAACGACTCTCAGATGAGGTGTCAAATTTAAAATTTGACACCTCATCTGAGAGCCATTAGATAAAAAAAATTAATGGCTCTGATTTGTAAGCATGTGACACCATTAATTTTTTTTTGATCTAATGACTCTCAGATGAGGTGACAAATTTCAAAGATCCTACCTCATATATATATATATATCATGACAAATTTGAAATTGGAGTTGTCTACTAGTGATAGTAGATTCTCTCATGTGTTAATTAACATGACCATATCATATTAGAGAATCATAATTATATATAGGTGGATCAATATTGATAAAGGAAGAAACAAAAATAGAAATAAGTATTTAGAAAATCATCACCGATGATTTTTCTTTCTACGGTAAGGATTTTGACATGATCATGAGATGATCCATTTCCTTCCCTAATAATTGTTGGCTTTTGTTTGAAATTTAAGGAAAACATGATAATAATAAATAAAGAGGGAGTTATATTTATAACTTATTTTTTTTTATAACCTCTTACACACATTTTTTATGGTTGTTGAATGAAAATACAATCAATTGTTATAAAATGATATTAAGCGAGAATTGTTAATTTGATTTTGACCCAACAACTATAAAAGTGTTATAAGAGATTGTAGAGAAAATAGGTCATAAATATAACATTTCTCGTAAATAAATAAAAACACTGGGACAACAAAATCAGGACAAAAGCTTCCTTAAATACCTACATCAAGGAAGAAAATAATTTGAGCTAAATGAGGAAGCAATTGTGGCATTTCATTACGCTTTTATTCCCTTTGTTTCAATATCAGAACAAACATTTCTTTTGTACTGGGCCTTAGAGACAGCCTGTGTGCACCGATGATTTTCATCAACAAAAGGGGAGATAGAAAAAAATAGAATAACGAACGACGATTTATGAGGTCCGTGAGGTTGAGATATATGTGTAAATATCGGTGCCATTTATTTTTGTGGCGAAGCATTTACTGCAAAACCAACACGCAGGTTACAAATTACATACGTTTCTCGGGGTCCAGCCCCAAAAGTATAATTTGTATTCCTTTTTTTTTTTTTTTTTTTTTTTTGGAGTTAATTGTATTCCTTTTCTTCTTGTATGCAAAAGACGGTTGGGTTTTGAGTCTTTTTGACTTTGAATTTTCCCCCTGCTCATTTTGGTTTGTGTGCAGTTAACAAAGCATATCAATATACGTCCATTACTAGTGTAACATTACTCGACTGTTGGACAATACCTTGGGTCCTTATACTCACATGGATCTTCCTAGGCACACGATATTCCCTATGGCAACTAAGTGGTGCAGCTCTATGTGTGCTGGGCCTTTGTTTAGTCATACTTTCTGACACTTGGGTTGGTGGTGGAGGTAACATTTAAGCTATTAGTATTTAGAACTAAGTATTTCGATTTCTGGGTAATAATAATCAAATTGAGTTTTCCAAGCAAGAATTATTGAGTCCAAGTCAAAAAATTTCAGGTGGATCAAGACCTATCTTGGGCGATGTACTTGTGATTGCAGGGACACTTTTCTACGGAATAAGCAATGTTGGTGAAGTATGTGAATCCTCGACTACTATTTAAATAACATTTTACTAAAGTACTTTTATGCAGTATAAGGTGTAACCTTAATTAGATGGCCAAATAATCTGCAGAAATAATTTTTGGGAGTGAGAAATATAGTTCCACATTGGTTGCATGGGCAATTAATGTGAGGTTTATAAGTTCCTTGGGCACTCTCACCCTTTGAGCTAGCTTTTGGGGTAGTGATCTCAAGGTTCTTAATATGGTATTAAAGCGTTCGAAATCTCATCGCCTCTCACTTTTTTTGTAGTAGAATTTCCACATGTAGGTGGGCTTGTATGTTGTCCATCCTTCAAGCCCAGTGGACTCTCGTGTGAGGGGGCGTGTTGAGAAATATAGTCCCACATTGATTATATGGGCAACTAATGTGAGATTTATAAAGTCCTTGGGCACTCCCACCCTTTGAGCTAGCTTTTTGGGTAGTGACCTCAAGGTTCTTAACAGGGAGTGCAATATCTCAGAGTTGTATTTGACTTTAACACGCTAGTCTATTTACATTTCATAACTTTTCTGGATTTGCTAAGTTGCCTTCCAACAAATTGCAGGAATTTTGTGTTAAGAGGAAAGATCAGGTTGAAGTAGTTTCCATGCTTGGTCTTTATGGATTCCTAGTAACCATTGTTGAAGTGTATCCTTGGTGGTCGATCATTGAGGCTGATACATCATACATGATTTTTGTAACTTGCCTATGACGTTTTTATACACATATTCCAAATATTCGAATTTGAACTTCCAAGGAAATGTAATGCAAATATAACTTGAGTTTCTGTCTCCAAAATTTCAAAAAGTTTCCTTGATTCATTGGTCTTACAGATCTGTTATAGAATTGAAGACTCTGGAATCTGTCAAATGGTCTACAGATATTGTAAGTATTCAATTCCCATTCTGTTTTAGGTATAATGAACAATCTTTTCTGGTTAATATTTCCCCTTCCCAAAATAAGCTAAGCCGCTGTGAAAATATGTTAAGAGAAACAAATTGAACAGTATTGTTTCAGAATATTGACATTGATAGCACAAAACATAAGCAGTGAGACAATGTCAATTCTTCTTTGCGAGACTCCAACTTGATAAAAAATTATGAAATTTCAAAACATGAATAATAGAAGAACTTGACTTTCTCACATTTATGTATCTGCGTATCCCTGCTTGTAAAGAATCCCAACTTAGAGATAATAATTTTTTGCTGTATAAGATAATTGATTCCAAAGGGCTTAAAATTTTCACCTTGCCCTCATATTTATAAAATATCAATCGAATTTGATATCCTCTAATTTCTAATTGTAGCAATATTATACCGAAAAATTATGCTTGCCTAGTTGAGTGTTTAAGCAAGATGTTAAAATTCTTTCTTAGGTACTTGCTTTTGTCGGCTATGCTCTGTCAAGCTTCATGCTTTACACATTTGCTCCTTTTGTTTTAAAGGTTAGTTTCCTTCACATGTACTTATTTGACGCAGTTCCTTTCTCCAGATAAGTACAGAGATTTGCATAAGGGGGATTATTTACAATGCTGTCCTGTTTAAGTTCTCGGATAATTTGATTTTAGATCCACTTGGAAAGCTTGTATCATCTGCGTATTGATTATATGGGGTTAAAAAGAATTTATTTTTTGATTAATTAAATTAAATAGATTTCGTCCCATGCAGTTGAGTGGAGCAGCAATGTTTAATCTTTCTCTTCTAACATCTGATATGTGGGCAGTGGTTTTTAAAGTCTTCTTGTACCACCAAGAGGTATTATTTTCTCAATTGACAAATTAGGTGTGGAGTTTTGGTCAACATTAATTCATTTATCGGTTGCAAGTTCCATATGCGAAAGCTTTTGCACTTTGTAGATATATATGTTAGTAGAGTAAATAATTTTTTGTTACTAACCAAATTTCACGATGCCCGTTTTAGTCCCTAGCAAATAAAAAGACCTATCGTGGTCTTTAAAAAATTCAAAATGAACCTATTTAGTTGAAATCGTGGTCCCTCACAAATTCAAAAAAGACCTATATTAGTTCCTAAATGACTAAAATGGGCCCATTTTGAATTTTTTAGGGACTACGATGGGCCTTTTTATTTGCTAAGAAAGCGGGTATAGTAAGATTTGCTGAGAACCAAAAATAGTATTCACTCATGTTATTATTGTTGCTCAATACAATGTGACAATGTTCACAGGTGGATTGGTTGTACTTCCTCTCTTTCGCACTTGTAGTTATTGGACTCATCGTTTATTCTGCAACGTACGTTCTCCATGTCCATGTATAGATGTTTTCCTTATTTAATTTTTGACTCTAGTTAAGTCCTTCCTCTAAAAAGAAAAGAATAACAATTGGGTGTGCTTTTCTTCATACTTACATATTTTGTTTGTAAATATCATCCATTGTCTTCACATAAGTGCTGTTACTAACTATTTGACATTTTTTAATATTTTGTTTAATTAGAGAGAAGGATACTGCTATTCCTGCACCTGCTACCGAGGATGGGAATCTGAACACACAATACCAAATGCTTCATGATGAAAGCACGGTCTCTGAAAATGGTTCTTTTGCTTCATGAGGGTGATCACATTTTGCACTTGAAATGGGAAAAGTACAATCTCGTATTCGTAGTATTCACAATGTTACAATATTAGGCAGTTCCTGTTGAGAAATCCACTGAGATTATTATTTCTTCGCTGCCCTTCCTCAAGGTGCTAATTGTGTTTCCGTTAGAATAGAAAGTAAAGAATTCTGTAGGTAAAAGAGAATAATACCCAAATAAGGGGTAAACATTGGGAATGCATGTTCAAGCTTCTATGCTTATAAGTTATAAGAACTAAAGAAATCGCTCAACTCAGTTCTTTTATGTAAATATATGTATTTAATTAGGTTTGTATTTACTTACTACTGCGATTACCAGCAGTCCAGCACAGTCAATGAGCCAAGCGATTAACGGATAATGTGTGAATAAATTAAAATAATATTTTAAAAATATTTAAAATTATAACAAATATATGCATAATTAATTCGAAAGAATTTTAATTTTTTTTTTAAAATAAGTTAGAATGAAATTTACTATTCTTTTAAAGAGAGTAGACTAAAAAATAAGCCACTCTCAAGATAACGTACTATAATTTTATATATAATAATACAGGAATGGATATGTTGAAATAAAATATATATTTTTATGTAAAATAAACTTTAAAAAGATTTAATTTGATCATATTATTAGTAGCTATAATTTAGGTAGAATAACGGATTTTTTATGTAATAAATAAAAAATAATTATTTTAAGAGTATAAGCAGTTAAAATTGGAAAAGACAAAAAATTATTGTAAAAAAATTAAAAGTGATTAATATTTTGAGTTTTTCTTGTAAAACACAAAAAATTGTTAAAACTATGGTAAAATCGCATGCCTTAACGTGGACGATGGTACAATAGAAGGATTATATATATCTTACCCTTAATTTTGGTAGTTGATTCAATTATTTAAGTCCCGACCCTCAATCCCTCTCCCTTTCTTTTCCATCCCACTTTCCTTCAAAGAATGCTAACATTGGAAATATATATTCTTGATATTGGACCATAACTTGAATAACACAAACGTACTGAGCTTGTTTCGTACGGGTGAAGAAACCTATTTCAAGAATGTGAAGAAAGAAGCATGACTCAGATAATGTGTGGTTGGCTAGTGCTTTTCCTAATGTAAGAACTTTTGAGCCATAAGGCCCATATGACTTTGGATTCGGGCTATTTGCACACAAGACTGGTAGATCCACTTCTGTATTGTCTTTCTCTGGGATGGATCCTAAGTGCCCTTAGGTGTCGCTCATAATCTTATAGTTGGATTGTGTATAAGCAAGCGTTACTTGTTTTCTTGTTAGTTTTGTCTGCCCTGCTTTTTTGCTTGATTGGGCCGGTTTGGTATTGTCTAAGTTCTTTGCTTGCCTAGCCTTTGTAGCATCTATCTAATTGAATCAGGTCTTTTTAACACAATCGTCAAAGTCTTCCCTGAACAACAACCAAGTGTAGCTTATCACTTAACCTTATTATTTGCAAAATAGTATTTTGGAAGTTACTTTTCACTATATCCTAAAGTTAATATTAATTTCTACGCACGTTCATTTAGAGAGTTTTTGTTGGAATATTTAACGGAGTCTCACATTAGTTGGTAATAGATTAGGTGAGTTCACATAAATAAAAAAATTCTTAAACATAAGACCTTAAGATTTTTTTTTTTTTTTTTTTTGATAACAAGACCTTAAGATTTTAGATTGAGAGATAATGTCAAACCAATTTATTATGATTGGAGTAGTTTACTCTATTGACAACCACCATGAGTTCTCCTTTTTTGCATTTGGTTGTCATGTGATTTTCACTTATATAGATTCATAATAGCTATTGAAGCTAGAAAATTGAATGTAGTTGAGAGGGTTGTAATCTACTTCTAATTTTTCAGCTTATATGTGTTGGCACCGAACAATTACAGTCTTACAAACACACAATCATAAACAAAAAGAGAGAAAGGAAAAAAGTAGACACAGATTTATCTTGACTCACCCAATGTGAGTTATATCTAGCAATATGCATTATATTTTACTCATCACACTCGTTAGAAAGCACTCAGTTTACAAGACGAATATAAATAGACTTAGATACTCTAAATAACGAGTTAATAATGACTATTCATGAGGCAAAGCCCAAACCATTCAAAAAGAAATAAAATAGAATAAATCTTAGGCCCATAATAGTACTAGACCATGTTGGCTTTCTCTGCGTCCCGCCAGCCAAGAAGGATAGTTAACTGAATGCGAAATATGAGTCAAAACCAAACAATATGGGATGAAATTAAATTATTCAGAAGTTTCTTACTTCTAATTTGCATTAAAAATGACGAAGAAAATATTGTCTTGTAAACCCATATCAATCAAGATATCAATATCACTAAAAATATGATCAATAAATTAATTTATGATATTATTCTATGATCGTAAATAAATTTATTATTAATAAATATTATAAGTGCCAGAGGAAATATAAAAATAAACCAATGCAAATTTAAATATAATTATATTGAGAAATTTAAAATAGTGTAATTAAAGAAATAGCTCAAGTAATTTAGATACCTTTATCCAATTGTGATATAAATCCACCATAATGAATTAAGCTCAATTTAAATTATAAAAATAAAATATATTCTACCTTTATATAAGAATTTATCTAGTTCAACCTAACTTCTTAGATCCAAGTCCTCCCGTTATCGCTAGATAACTGACCCCTATTGTCTATTTTGACAACAACTATTGTACCCAACTAGACTTAACTCCAAGCTCCAGAGTACAAGTCCCCAATTATCACTAGATGATTGCTCTTCTATTATTTATATCGAAAATAGCTAAAACAAGATAAAAAAATACAAATGAACAATTTGAGAGTTATCTTCCGAACTTTTAATAAACAAACAAATAGGTACAAATGAAACCTAAGAATAGGACTTAGTTAATATGTTCAAGCCTTAGATTAAGAAGAAAATTTTTCTATCTTCCTTTCTAAAATTTTGAAACTTTAAAATAATATAACCTAAAACATGATCAAGATTCATTTCATTCACTTATTACATGAATTCTAAGATTTTATCTTGTATATTTGATCTTTACAATTTTGTGATAATTTTGTTACTTTCATTTCTTCATATTTTATCGTATATTAAATTTTGCAACAAACTTTGAAAAACTCAAGAAACACTATTAGATGACATAAACATCGCTTGTTTATTATCTTCAAAACTAGATAAGTGTGGGATCTAACAATTATATCTTGATAATTGATTTTGTCTTTCATTTTTCATAGAAAGAATTCAAATATTTAATATTATTTAAGTTACATAAATAATATTGAGCTCAATGATTACTTGAATGCTATAGTTATTCGTGAACTATTATGATGATTATGAAATGATTCCAAATAATATACTTTATGCGGCACTGAGAGTTTGGGTGCTATTGTTAGGTGGCCGTTTAGGTTAGGCGAAAAAAATCACAATAAATGGGTTAAACAGTACATCCTAATATTAATATAAGATAACGGTCTTTTCACCCATATAATAATCGTTTATTCATTTTCAATTAATGGAGAACTCCTCACACTTCAATTTTCAACTAAATAATATGCTCTATTCAATTTTTCAACTCAAAATAGAGGATGTCCATACTCGATACCTTGGGGCCAACGAAGGTTTCATAAAATAGTAATAAGAAGATATTGTCTGATGACTCTGATGCATGACGTCATAGTTTCCAGTATATTTTGATGATATCGACAGATATATAAAAGTCACCATCAGTGAAAGAAGAAAGGAAAATAATTAAGAGCATCTCTTAAACTGACTTTGTTTTGTTACCTTAAAAAAAGAGAAAATGGCTCAAAGAACTCCAAGCAATTCTGGATGCCTGTCAAGATCTGACACTGATAGGTTATTTTTATTCGTTAGAAAAATATTTATCCTTTTAAATGACATAATTTGTATTCTTTCATTCTCATAAAGAGGTGAAACTCACACCTTTATTTTTTTTTGTCAACTCTGTTTCTTTCTTTATCTATCTCTTTCTCTCCCTTAAAATGACACAATTTTCCATCTTTTAAAATAACACATACTTTCCCCTTTATTTATTTATTTATTTATTTATTTTGAATAAAAGGGCTGATAGGTTTTTGACATGTACTCAACAAAAAAAAAAATTGGTGGGGCCTCTAGGAGAAAGTTGAAAGATAAATATATTTTCCAAAAAAAAGTGGAAAGATAAATATAATATTTAAGTTTAACCATGCAAGAGCATGGCAGCATGCCACCCTTTGCCATACTGAGTTAAAAACAATGTGTGAGGAACGAGGGGACCTCGTGGCTCGCGGCAGATTTCTTCTTAATATACGTGAGTCTTGACTGAAACGATGACTAAATAGAAACAATTAAAGTAATAAAGAGACATTTTTCGTTTTCAATTATAATTATTACAAAATATTCATTTTTTTTATAATAAGGTCTTAACTCTTAAGTATTACTTTACAAGAAAATCTTAGATTAATCAAGATTAAATAATTAAAAATAAAATATAATTAAAATTAAATTAATGAAAGGCTTTATAAATAGAAACTTATTTCAATCAATTAAATTCAAAATACATAATAAATCTTACTGCTCAAAATACGTCTTTTTACATGATGCACCTAAAGATTGGTTCATTAAGAATGGAGTTTGATTCGAGAAATCCGATTTAATTAGATTCATGACTCATTAAACATGGCCATGTGTTCAAAGAAATTGGCGTGTTTTAAGTTTCATTTATTGAAAGTTTGGTTGGTAAAAATTTTCATTAGTTATTAGGGTTAGTTAAATTCCAATTACTTTCTTGTTTTTAAGCTATTTGATTTTTGATTAATCTATAAAAATGTGTTTAAGAATCATTGTAAAAAATCAAATATTTTATTCTTTTGATCGATAATTATATCTAAGAACAAAATGTTTCTATATATCAATCCAAAACGTTTCTGTTTAGCCACTTTTTATTTCTTCTTCATACATCAAGGGTTGTAACTTGTACGTGACAATAATTTTATTTTCTAGCAATGTTTCCAAAAATAATTAATTTTTTATTACTATGCTTGGGAAGAGTTGCTGGAAAAAAATATATATTTGATAATACAATTTATTTCTATACCCAAAAAGAGAGAGTACATTTAATAAATAATTTTCTTAATAAATAATGTATATTTATGCTGATAACACATTCTATTATGTCTGTATTTAATAAATAATATACCAAAAAATAAAAAAGGAAAGAATAATT